CAGAACTCTAGTGCAAGTCAGGTGCCCATGCAGTTCTTCAGTACTCCTACTTCTGGTGCTTCATTTTCTTAGACAAACAAAATAAATCAAGTTCAGATTTTTCTATGTACCAAATAATAGGTAAGTCCTAGGCATACCTTGTTGCTTGGACACAGCTAGGAAGAAACACTGGATAACACTGGAAAATGAAGAATCAACCTACATAATACTCAATTCCTCATAATACAAAACATGTAACTATTTCAATGGTGAAGTATCCAGGGACATATGTTAAGAATCAACTCTCAGAGATTTCTGGGTCAAAACAACAAAATGAAAATACTAGGAACTGTTAAAGAATAGACTCCTTAAAATGTAAATCAGCAAGATCATTTAACATAATTTATATCTGATTTACATGTCATTTTCCAAAAACATACCCACTAGAATGAATAAAATATAGACTATATTTTAGGGAAATACGTTCAAGAATTGTGGGTGCTCCACTTAACCGTTCAGTTATTGCCCCAACAAGGCACAATGCTCCTAGGTCCTAGCAATGGTTCACAGAATCATTCTGGTTCTTCCAAGTCAAGTCACCAGAGAGGGAGAGAAAAAAACGGATTCATCTAAATAAGATGATCTCTTACCAAGACAAAGAAAGGACTAAGCTTATCATCAGAATCTATTTTTTGGACAAAGACTGAGTTTTGTTGAACTTCTAATTATAAAGCTATGTTAAGGGGCGCTTGTGGCTCAGTGGGTTAAAGCCTCTGCCTTTGGCTCAGGTCATGATCCCAGGGTCCTGGGATCGAGGTCCTGGGATCGAGCCCCGCATCAGGCTCTCTGCTCAGCGAGAAGCCTGCTTCCTCCTCTCTCTCTGCTTACCTCTCTGCCTACTTGTGATCTCTGTCAGATAAATAAATAAAATCTTAAGGAAAAAAAAAATAAAGCTATGTTAAGTGCTTATTGGGTAGGTAATTTATCCTAAATAATATTATAAATACCAGTTCACACGCTTTCCAGATAAAGTGGCAGATAACACTGCTTCCATTCTAATAACATGTTGTTACTTAGTAACATGAACAGAAATGGCATCATGAGAATGTAGTAGAGACTGCAATGAGCTACCTCACACTCATTCTCTCCTTGCTCTTTAGTAAACCCAATTTTATTCGGGTCAGTTACATGCTCAGCTAAAGGATTATATTTCTTTCTTTCCTTTTTTTAAAGGATTACATTTCTAAGACACCCTCATAGCTAGATGTAGCCATGTGACTAAGTTCTGGCCCATAGATATAACAGGAAATAGTGTTTGGGACTTCCAGGAAAATTAAGGCTTTCCTCCCTTCGTAATTTTTCTGCTGCCTGGAACATGGATGGGATGTCTTAAGTCATTGGTAGTCATATTAAACCATGGGATAACTCTGAGAAAGGAAGCATGGGGGTGCCTGGGTGGCTCAGTCGGTTAAACATCTGTCTGGCTCCTGTCAAGATCCCAGAATCCTGGGATCCATGTCTGGCTCTCTGCTCAGTGGGGAGTCTGCTTCTCCCTCTCCCTCTGCCTGTGCATGTGCATGCTCTCTCTCTCCGCACTGCCCCCCCACTTCCTCTCTCAAATAAAAAAATCTTTAAAAAAAAAAAAGGAAGCATGCACAAGGCAGACAGCCCCTGGATCACCAATGACTGTGGAACAAACAGTGTACAGGTCCTGGACTGCCTTCCTCTGAGCTTCTTTATATATGAGAGAATAAATCTCAATGTATGGTTCCTAAACTTTGATGAACATTAGTATCACAAAATGAGTTTTAAAAATCTGGATACCAAGGCTGCTCCTCATACTAATTAAATAAGAGTATCTGGGGATTGAAATCAGGTATTAGTACTTTTTGAAGACTCTCAGGCAGATTCCAAGGTGTAGGAAACTTTAAGAACTATTGCTTTATGTACTTAAGCCCTCCACAATGAGTCCTTATTACTAACAGCTGATTCTAAATCTGATACTGCAAAAGTATCAGGAAAAAAAAATATCTTTATGGATACCTATGTAGTTTAACTGAAAACCCACAAATGGAAGGACATTTTAAAATATCACTACACTGTAATTTATCATTAAAGTACTCTGCTTATTTTTTAAAGCATTATCTCATTTGATCCTCACCTCAACCCTAAGTCAGTATCATGCATATTTTACAGTTAAAGAAATAGAAGTTCAGGGAAAACAAAGAACTTATTCAGGGTCTCACATCATGCAACCGGCAAAGTCAAGATAAAAGTTTCTATTTGTGTAACTTCAAGTCTTGTGCCTTTTCCAATACACTGTAACTCCAAAGAAAAGAGGCCAAGAGCCTTCTAAAAGATTTACATTTTTTCTTGACTAAAGATTAATTTCATGAAAAGATAAATTTGAAAACTAATTTTTAAAAATGGAGAAAAGCACCCCTATTAAATCTATAAGCATTTCATAAATCTTGTGAACCACAAAAATATTACCTTCAAGTTAATTTTTTTTAATTTGCTCTTAAGTAGCACTAAATAAATGAATTTTAAAAATCAAGAATTTATAATTTGTCAGTTTTGAAAATAGATCTTTAAGAAGTACTATTGTTAGAACAGAGGGAAAACTGGCCATGACAAAGAATTTAATAAAATACATAGAATTTAAATTAGTTAATGCAGTGACTTTAGATTTTGAAACAATTTTCAAATGAACAGATTTTCAGAAGGTCTCAGCTCTTTCATTGGCTGGCTTTTATATAATTTCATTTATACCAAAAAGTTAATGTTGATTAACTGATGAAAAATAATAAAGAAACAGAGGATTTGAACAAGACTAAGATCAACTGGACCTAATAGACATATAAAGAACACTCCACCCAACCATAGTAGAATACGCAGCCTTCTCAACTGCACAAGGAATATTCTCCAGGACAGACTCCATTTCAGGTCATGAAACAAGTCAACCTACATAGACTACACGAAACAACCTACATAGACTGACTCATTTAAGAGACAGTAAATGTGAACCGACCAATAATGAGCAAAATCAAACACAAAAATCAGTTGTTTCTATATGCTAACAATGAACAATCTGAAAAATTATGAAAACAATTCTGGTTACAGTGGCATAAAAAAAGAATGTAACACTTAGGAATAAACCTAACCAAGGAGTTCAAAAACTTGTACACTGAAAACTATAAAACATCACTGGAAGAAACTAAAGAAAGCACAAATAAGTGGAAATACATTCCACACTCATGGATTAGAATACTTAATACTGTTAAGACGTCCATACTACTGAAAGCAACCTACAGATTTGACACAATTGCGATTGAAATCCCACAGCATTTTTGGTAAAAATATAAAAATTCATCCAAAAATTGATCAGAATTCAAAGGGACATGTTAAGAAGCCAAAATAATTTTCATATAGAACAAAATGAGAGAATTCACACTTCCTCAGTTTAAAAGGTATTAGAAAGCTAAGTAATCAAAACAGCGTGGCACCGGCATAAAGACAAACAGACCAGTGGAGTACCATAGAGGGTCTAGAAATAAATCCTTGCACATATGGCCAAATGATATTCAACAAGGGTACCAAGACCACTCAATGAGGAAAAGACAGTGTTTTTTAAAAACAGTGCTGGGAAAACTGGTTATCTACATGCAAAAAAATGAAGTTGGAACCTTATCTTACACCATGTACAAAAATTAACTTCAAAGGGACTAAAAACCTAAGTATAAGATCTAAAACTATAAAACTTCTTAGGAGAAAATCTTTATAACACTGGAGATGGCAATGATATTTTGGAAATGACACCAAAAGTACAGGCAACAATCACAAAGATAGACAAATGGTATCACAACAAACTTAAAACCTTTTGTGCATCAAGGACATTATCAACAGAGTGAATGAAAAGGCAACCTATGAAAAGGGAGAAAATACAAATCACATATCTGATTTGGGGTTAATATCCAGAATATATAATAGATTCCTAAAACTCAAGAACAAAAAATCAAATAACTCAATTAATAGACATTATTCCAAAGATGATACACAAATGACCAAAAAACATATGAAAAGATGGTCAACATCACCAATCATCAGTGAAATGCCAAATTAAAACCATAGTAAGATAACACCTCACACCTATTAGGATGGCTACTGTCCAAAAAAAAAAACCAGAAAATAGCAAGTACTGGTGAGGATATGGAGAAACTGAAACCCTTGTACACTGCTGGTGGGATTGTAAAATAAAGCAACTGGTATGGAAAATAGTATGAAATTTCCTCAAAAAGTAAAAACAGAACTATCATAACTATCATATTATCCGGGAATTCCACTTCTGAATAAGTATCAAAAAATATCAAAAGAAGGGTCTTGAAGAGATACTTAAACACCTATGCTTATCACAGCACTATTCCCAATAGCCAAGAGGTGGAAGTAACCCATATGTCCACCAGGGGAATGGATATACAGACAGCAGAATACCATTCAGCTGTAAAAAGCAAGGCAATCCTGTCACATGCTAAACATAGGTGAATTTCGAAGACATTATGCCAAATTAAATAAACCAGTCACAAAAAAACAAAATAGTTCCACTTATATGAGGTATCTAAAGAAGTCAAATTCATAGAAACAGGAAGTAGAATGGTGGTTACTAAAGGCTGGGGAGCTGGGGGAGGAGGGGAAGGGAGTTGTTTAATGCACATTCAGATGAATTTCAGATGCACAAGATGAAAAAGTTCTGGAGATCTATTTCATGACAATGTGAGCATACTTAATATTATTAAACTGTACACTTTAAAATGATTAAGATAAAAAATTTCATTATTTTATGATGTTTAAGGTAATGTTTATTGAATTATCCCTAACTCGATTTGGGAATTATTAAATAACACATACACAGTTTTAAAACACTAAAAAATCTACTACAGTAATGCCTGAAAAAAAGCTTCTGAAAAATAAGTATTTTAAATTCTACAAAAGTAAGATTGTTAAAAACATACAATCCTACTTACCTTGGCTTGTCTCTTTTTTCTCTTTGTCTTTCAAAATCTCGTCCTCTATCTTTTCCATCTCTTGGTTTTTCTTCTATTCTGTCTTTTACTTTATACTTTTCTTTATATTTTTTCCCCAGAACAATATCTTCCTGTATAGGAGGAGGTGGACTAGGAGTTCGAGGTCCTTTCTTTTTACTCTGGTTGCCTTTTGAATTCCTGAAGGTAATACAAAGCTATCATTAGAGGTGCAAATACCTTTGGAAGGTCAAACGGGTTTTTTTTTTTTTCATTTTAATAAAGCACATTTTAGTGTTTTTTTAAGATTTTATTTATTTATTTGACAGAGAGAGAGATCACAAGTAGGCAGAGGCAGGAGGGGGGGCGGGAGGCAGGCTCCCTGCTGAGCAGAGAGCCCGATGCAGGGCTTGATCCCAGGACCCTGAGATCATGACCTCAGCTGAAGGCAGAGGCTTAACCCACTGAGCCACCCAGGTGCCCCAATAAAGCACATTTTAAAAAATGGTAGCATTCCTCACCTTTTACTATCTTATTAATTAGTAATCACTATCCAGGAAAAAACACACAGAAATGAGCAAATAATTAATTTAACTTGCTACTTATTAATAATCCTAAAGGGTAGGTCTCTGAGAAAGAGGTGAAGTATGAAGAGTTTCTTTCAAAAATAGAAATAATAACAAGACAACTGCATGAACTGAATTTTCCTAAGCTTATATAGAAAAGTAGACGAAAAAAATAAAAATCACGTATAATTCCACTACTCAAGACTAACCCTTGTTAACATCTTGGATATATGCCCACACTTTTTCTATGTCTCTTCTCCCTCCCCCAATTATATTATGTTTTGTAAAAGTTTTTGTACTAAACATAGCATGGGTATCTTTTCTATGACAAAAAACAGATGCAGATAATTATTTTTATAGACTATCAAATTTCATTGAATAGATACACTCTGTAACTTCTTTAAATGATTTCAGATTGGTAAATTTTTTAGGTGGACTCCATGTTTTATGATAAAGAACACAAAATTACATCATCTATAAATCAATTCCTAAACACTGTTAGTAAACATTCATTTAAATCTTCTAAGTCTTATTTGAGAAATCTTCTCAACTCTAAGATTACAAAAACAATCCCCCCTAAAATTTGGGAATTTGACCTTTCACATTTAACCTACCTGGAAGTGATTATTGGGTATAGAATCTCCTCTTTAATTTGGCACTTTAAATAATTTTATTCAAATGGTGTAACTCTGACCTCTTATATATCCCAAATTGTCTGTCCTTACCTCAGATCTGCCATCATTTGACTGAATATAATAGCACTTTGGTGTTAATATCCTTTCTCCTCAGAGCTCTCAAATATTGCTACAATATTTTATAACACTTGGTGTTGCAGATGAAAAATACAAAGAGAGCCCATTTCTTTTTCCCCATGCATGTTACACCCAGTTTTTCAGCTGGGATGATTACAAGACTTTCTTCCTTGGAAATTAAAAAATTGCACCAAGATATAACTAGGTTTTCTTTTTTTTTAGCCTTCTCCAGAACTCAGTGAACCATTTCAATCCCAAATCCTTAAGTCTTTCAGTTCAATTTTTAAAAAATTTTTATTTTATCAATTCGCCAAATAGCCCTAGCCTCTCTGGTTAGCTTTATTATAGTTACCACATCTGGATCTCTCATCCATGTCTTATTTTTTTAATTATTTCTATCTCTCCTTTTGTTTCCCAATCTTTTTTTTTTTTTTTTTTAAGATTTTATTTATTTATTCGACAGAGAGAGATCATAAGTAGGCAGAGAGGCAGGCAGGGAGAGAGGAGGAAGCAGGCTCCCCGCTAAGGAGAGAGCCCGATGTGGGTCTCGATCCCAGGACCCTGGGATCATGACCTGAGCCGAAGGCAGAGGCTTTAAACCTCTGAGCCACCCAGGCGCCCTTGTTTCCCAATCTTAAATATGTCTTCAAATTCAGTAATTCTTTTAAGCAGCACTCATTCTACTTGTTCCAAATAATTCAGCAATCTCATTATTCTACTATTTTCAGTTTTTTTTTTTTAAGATTTTATTTTTTTATTTGAGAGAGAGTGAGCACAAGTAGGCAGAGTGGCAGGCAGAGGGATAGGGAGAAGCAGGCTCTTCACTGAGCAGGGAGCCCAATGTGGGGCTCGATCTCAGGGCCTTGGGATCACAACAGCCCCTTAACTGACTGAGCCACCCAGGGGCCCCATTTTCAGTTTTCTGTTTTTTTTTTAAAGATTTTATTTATTTATTTGACACACAGAGATCACAAGTAGGTAAAGACACAGGCAGAGAGAGAGAGGGGAGCAGGCTCCCTGCTGAGCAGAGAGCCCAATGCAGGGCTCGATCCCAGGACCCTGGGATCATGACCTGAGCCAAAGGCAGAGGCTTAACCCACTGAGCCACCCAGGTGCCCCTATTTTCAGTTTTTTAAAAAATTGTTTTTCTTCCAAAATATCTTGTTCACAGATTGCTTTAATTTTCATGTCAACTGGTCTCATCTTCTCAATGCAATCATCCTCTCAAACTGTACTAAAATTATGAATTTTTATTTAAATTCGGTTTTGTGTTCTCCAACACTGTTCAGTCTGGTGCTGAGTTTTGAAGCAGCCCTCATATATCTGGTAAGTTTTCACCAGCTACTCATTTCACTATTAGTCTTTATAAATGATGACCTAAGTCTATATCCTAGAACTTACTTCCTGTAACCTTGAGGTCTCTAATCTGATTCCTTAGCTATGAAAAGGTAATAGAAAGCATCTTCTTCAAAACTGCTGGTAAAATTTAAAAAAAATAAAAGTATAAAATCAATGGACTCTGTGGGCATTCAGAAAATTTAGCTCTTAATCCTTATCCTTATTTCTTATTATCATAGATAAGGTTAGCTACATAGCAAGTTAGAAATTACTAAGGTATGATCAAATCTATTTTTTACCTTTGTCTCCTGCTATGAACCATAGCCACATATCTCCTTACATATTTATGAGATAACTCAAACTTTTAATGTATCTAACAGTAACTGATAAATGCCTGAATTTCTAAATATTTTCCACTTAAAAGACAAAAACAGTAGTCACTATCAAAAAATTATTTTAAAGATAAAATAATAGAGGAATTCTTGATACAAACTATTTTCACATTACTTCCTGTGATAGAGACTAACAAGCTGTTTACTAAATTTTGTCCCTGGCACACTGTTGAACCATACTGTCTAGACTTTTTTGAAATTGGGTATGGCCAAGTGACCAAGTTCTGGCCAAAAAATGTGAGTAGAAGTGATATATACCACTTCCAGCCCTAACTATTAAAAGACTCTCATACTCCAGGCAATTAATTATAAACTGTTCAGCCAAGTAAGAGCAATATTCTAATTTTTTTCTTTGTACATTCCATTTGTTTGGTGTCCACAAAACCCCAAGTGAAGCATGTCACAAGGAGCCTAGGTTACTGAATCTCTATGTATAGGACAGCAACATATTGATCTGAAACACCCATTTTGATTTTACTTCAGTGAGAAATAAACCTCTGTAGTGTTAAACTCACATTTTGGGATTAGGCTATTAAAACAACTAGGATTACACAAACATATTCACTGAAATACAGAATTTCTTCACATTATCTTCAAAAATATATGTAGTTGGAAATCATATTATGTTACAATATCGGGTTTAAGTGCCTTCCAACCACAGAGATACAAACTGGTTTTGGACATTCTGAAGTCAACAAGATCTTTCAACATTTTTTTAAAGTCAACTGATTATTCTTTAATGACGCAGAGCCTACTTCCCATTTGTGACATAGAGCTCAATTAGCAACTTCGACCATTTTTAGATCCTTTCTTTCTCTCTCCTCAAAACTACTTCTTTTGAACAGCTTTTAACCTACTTTGTACATCTTCGTACAAAGAGCTATAAAGAAAAATTTACTTAATAAAAACTGAGAAACAGTGTAGATGGACAGAACACATAATACATTTGCTGATTCTAAGCCACACTGCATCTCCCATAATAGCCTAAAGCTTGCTATCAGGACACATCTCGCAATAAATATCAAAGAAAACTGCCAGCTTTCAGGAAGAGGTATGAATTTCAATTTGTCTGTAATTATGCTGCCTACTCAATATGATAACTGTAAGACCAAGGAGTCTATTTACCTGATTGTCACCTCAGCAGACTTACTGGCATTGCTCCAACACCCTACTGAATTGTAACTGAAATTCCAATCCTTACTTTTTGCTTAATATGCCTTCAAACAGCTTACAGTATGATTCAACAAATGAAGCCAGAAGCTGATGATCTGACACACTCCACACAACACAAACTGCTTGGCTAAGGAAATGCTATACTCAATTCAGTGTTTTCCTTGTGCCTCTACCGTACTGTTTTCCAGGCCCTTCTACTTCAATTACTAAATTAATGGTGCATCTTAAAGTCAACAACATCTTAGACTACAAGAAATACAGTAGTTAAATCAAGGTGAGTAATTATTCCTGCTAAATACTAAGAGGATAAATGAATTACTAATAAAGAACACTATATGAAAAATAACAAGATGAAACTAACTCTTCATCTAAACAGTTAACAAAACTTTCTAAAAAGAGATTAAATTTCAAAGCTTTTATGAATAGAAAGGATAAGAAAACAAAAAAAGGGTATTTCTGATATGCTGGTTTTTTGTTATTTTTATTTTTATTTTTTTTTCCAGAAATGGATGGAACTGAGGGATAGTTATTTAACTGGTTAGCCAAGGGTTATGATAAAGAACAAGAACAAACGGAGTGGATCACACCACTCTATAGTTCACTCCTTCCTATTTCTTTGCCACATTTACTCAATCCCAGAAGCAAAGGAGAGGATCAAGTCAACTTTACAGAGTGCCTTATTATAATGCAAAGCTCAACACGAAGTAGGTGCAATGGGGAGAAAAAACAATAAACCATCAAGATCCCAAACTTCAAGGAGCTTAAATTTAACAGAGGTTCTAATACATGCATGCCACAGATAAAATATAATACAAACAGTAATATTAGGAGAGGTATAAATAAAATCTAATATGCAAAGGAACAGAAGTTATGTTCAATAAAAAGAAATGGAAAAACTTAATGGAAAGACAGAATTTGAGCTAGACATTGAAGAACTGAAGATGGAAGAGAGGAGGAGGAAAACTGGACAAAAATATTCACAAGACTGAAAAGATCAAAGTATAAATGTCATCTTAAAGAATCTAAATTTTAGGGCACTCGGGTGGCTCTGTCAGTTAAGCCTCTGACTTCAGCTCCGGTCATGATTTCGGGGTCCTGGGACATTGCCGTGCATTGGGCTCCCTGCTCAGCAGGGAGTCTGCTTTCCTTCCGATGTCCTCCCCCCCGCCCAGCTCATGCATGCACATGCACAGGCTCTCTCATAAATAAATAAAATGTTTAAAAATAGAATTTGAATTTTATTCAACAGAATGGAAATTCAGAGTTTTTCAATGGCATAGTATATTAATCAGAATTGCTCTTTCAGGATTTCTCTCACAAGATTTCTCTGTAAAATGAATCAGTTGGGGTTGAAAATAAAATGTTTATGTGTGTAAGGGAGTGGACATTGGATAAAATAAATACAGTTAGTAGGGTATAATAATCTAGGCAGAAAGTACCTGGAGTTTGAAAGAGGGTTAAAACCTCTAGAAACTAAAAGGAAGAAGACAGAAATTTCCTTGTGGGTTCAGATAGACAGTTTGCCAACTGGTCATATGTCGGGAAGAGGTTAGTTTGGGTTTTTCTCTTGAAGAAATTTAGTGTATGTGCTTTAATTAAAACAATATTTAAATAGTACAGATCGACATTAAGTGGAAAAGTGTCTTCTGTCTTATTCTTAGTGCCTCAGTGTAATCATATTTTCCCATTTCTATTTTTATTTCCTCAACTGGCTACTGGAATAACTCTAATATCTTCATACTGCTATGTACAGGATATAAGGAACCTAATCTCATAACCACATGCACAAGGAGACAAGAAGAACGTTCACTGTGTATAACTTGTAACAGTGAAAAACTGAAAACAACCTAAATGTTCAATAACAGAAAAATAAATATAGAATGTAAGTACTCAAATGAAAAAAGGCTACATATATTAATACAAATATAAAAAATGTTAACAAAAAGCAAGTTGCAGAAGCAAAGCTTTAATATGTAAGTAGTAAGATTAATAGATAAAAATAATATATATATGAAAGTATAAACATACATGACCAGTATCAAAACAAATTCAAGAGGGGAGGACAGAATATCTATGTATTATGTTTTAATCTTAAAAAAAAAAAAAAAGCTCTGAAGCATATATAGGTGGGACACAGACATCTGTTTTATTGTTCTGTATAATCTTCTTTTAAATTGAAACTCTTTTGACCTTTTTCTTAGAAGAAAAAAATTTACATTAAATATTTAACATATTTTAAGTACCCTTCTGTAACCCACTAATTTTTTTGAGTATCATTTCAAAAAAAGCTACTTCATTTTGGCATTATTTACCACCCTACTGACCTCTGCTGGTCCAATAAGGGTGAGGATACAGCAGCTGTCTTCCTGTCTTTCTTGCTTGCTGAAGATGATGACTTAGGGCTTGATTTTCGCTTTGGAGATTTGCTTGATTTTCTTAGAGAAGGTGATGGAGATAATTTTGATCTAATTACTTCTGGTGAAACCTTTTAAAAGAATTCAGTAAGTCAATTCAGAAACTCCTTCAATCCTGGCTGTTATAATCAGGTAACAAAGTAGGTGTTTTTAAAGCATACCAAACTTTAGATGAAATATTAAGTGCTACTAGAGATACCATGTATTAATCTGGCTCCTAAACACATGCTTTTAACCAGTATGATAATTAACTGCCCTAACATAACACTAATATCAATAAAGCCAACTAAAATGATAAAACTTCAAAATCTCCTCAGAAAAACCAAAATTATATTCCAATGAGTTGTATCTCTACTCTAGAAAATAAACAAGTGTTCTAGAAATAGCTTAGGCCTAAAAAACAGACATACATAGATTTAAATCCTATTTAACATTAGCTGGTGACTCTAGGCAACAAAATCTCAGTTTTTCACCTATTCGAAAGCAAAAATATTTCAATTTATCTAACAGTAATTCAATTTATCTAACAGTAATGAGAAGATTAAATGATTGATGTATGTAGATATATAATAATTTAATCAGTGTATCAATATCCTAGTACAATTTAAGACAGAGCAAGCAGCTAATGAGTTCTCTGAACAATAGCCATGTTGATACTAATTATGAACATTTATTTCAATAATAGCATACCTCTTTTTTAATAATAATTTCTTCTCTCTTGTCCATGTTTTCTTGTTCCAGCTTCATTAATTCCCTCTGTATCTTCTGACGCTTCATTTCCAATGACAACTCATGAACATAATCATAATTAATATCTCCATTGTCAGAATCTTTAAAATAAAAATTCCATTACTTGTCAAAAACTATGAATGATCTATACCAAAAATTAGAGAACTTTTTCTGCTAATTTTTTATACAAATTAAAATGGTAGATTCATTCCTTCGAATAACACACTTCTCAAAGATAAAAGAAATATATACTGTTTCTATAAAGGATTAAAATCAATATGGTTGATTTCTTTTGATTTCTTCATGAAAAGCCAAACATTTTTAAGATTCTTGGGTTTTCTGAAAGTGGTTTTGGGTTGCCTGGGCGTTGGGATTTTGGTTAGGAGACAGGATTTTTAAAAGATACAATTAAAAACACACATGTAAATTTTAACTATTAGAGATACCAAAGCCTTCAATATTTCATCCTGAATATGATGTGATTTATCTCCTTGACTTTCTTAAGGATTCATTAGTATTAAATGAAGGTTACATTAGGTGTCCTACATTGCTTCCACATTGCTTTTTTATTAGTAACACAACAGATTTATATCTAAAACTAAAGTCTGGTAATTTTAATACTAATGTGTACATGAACTAATGTCCGAAGGATCTGTACCATTTCCATTACAGGTGATTTGTACTAGGTTCCTTAGATTAGAACTGCTCATCTTAACAGATCTGATACCATTTCCTTATTTCCATTCACCTTTTTCATTAAAAAATATGATGGCTGGTTAAAGGGGGAAAAAAAGGAGTGGTATGCAGAGCTATTTCATCACAATACCCAGAAGCTTTCAGTGGCTACTGGCACTGCCACCCAACCTCTCATCCTCACTTGCTATAATGCAAGACGTCTAGAGGAAGGAATTTCAGTGACTCGTATCCTAACACATGACAATGCTGGGCTTGACTGCTTCGAACTGAAGTGCCTTCTATCAAACTATACTTTTGGCACTAAAGGTCACCATTCCTCAACCTGGGGCAAAAAAAAGAACTAAAAAACAACAAAGATAGGTAGTTCTACTTGACTGCTTAAAGGCACAAGAAAATGAGTATTACTGTCAGGCACAGACCAAATACATTATAATGCCAACCATCCATTTATATACTTGGGAACTGAGGGGAGCTATAGAGCCTTTAACTGTGTAACTAAATTGATTACTCAGCTAATATCAGAAAATGAGGACAATTTTTCAGTAAATATATAAAACAGACTAAATAACATTTTTCAGTCAGAAAGCAATCACTAAATATTTAAGGATATAAAGCTTTTACTTGATAAAATGATTAGAGATACTGAATTTTTTTTTTTAAGATTTTATTTATTTGAGAGAGCACACAAGCAGGAGGGAGGGGCAGGAGAGGGAGAAGACGACTCCCTGCTAAGCAGAGAGGCTGACGCTGGGCTCTATCCCAGGACCCAAGATCATGACCTGAGCAGAAGGTAGACACTGAATTGACTGAGCCACCCAGGTGCCCCCAGGAGATGCTAAATTTAATTAAATAAATAATGGCTATATTCAGTATTATTGTGCATTCTGACACTTTGTATCAGAGAGAGTGTCAAAGATTCCGTTTGATGGTATTCTCAAATTATTAACAGATAAAAATTCCATAACTAAATACTAAGTATGTATAAAACGAAGGGAAGATTATGGACATTGGGGAGGGTATGTGCTAGGTGAGTGCCATGAAGTGTGTAAACCTGGCAATTCACAGATCTGTACCCCTGGGGCTAATAACACATTATATGTTTATAAAAAAAATAATAACAATTATTCTAAAAAAAACAAAAATGAAAAAAAAAGGGAAGAGTAATTATTTGCAAAGAATGATTTATAGCATTTTTAAAGGCATTATCAATAATGTCCTGCGTCCCTCTAAAGACTGCTATCTGGAAATACCAATATAGAACACATGTAAAAAAATGAGAAGCTGACTGTCAGTCTTTACTCCCTAACTACCCTAATAAGGGCATTAAGTCTGAACAGTTAAAATCAATGTACTATAACTAATATATTTTGCTTAGAGGGAAAGCTCTCAAGTCTTCACTGATATACCACTTATTCCTATTTTATGGCTATCTATTATAAACAAAAGGAAGATGTTTTCCTAGCCTTTAAGAGTTGAACTACAAAATAGGCATGATGCAACTGATAGTCTCCTGACAAAAAAAGAAAAATGAGAAGGCACAAAACATAAAATGGAACCCAAAACAAAAATGAGTCTGAAACCATTTAAGAAATTTAGAAAATGTCTCTCATACCTTATAGCTTGAGGTTATCATTATAATTGCCTAATAAAAATTGATTCATGTAGATGATTAGTACAAGTCATTAGAAAAATATTAAATGTAACTAGAATGGCAGATTTTATAAGGCAGAGATTTTTAAGAATGTATATAATAGAAAAATATATACAATACATAAGGTTGACATTACTTTTTTTTTTTTTTAATTTCATTTATTTATTTGACAGAGAGAGAGCATAAGCAGGCGGAGCAGCAGGGAGAGGGAGAGGGAGCAGCAGACACCCCACAGGGCAGGGATCATGACCTTAGCTGAAGACAGATGCTTAACAAACTAAGCCACCCAGGTGCCCCAACATTCTTTACAAATAGAGTTCATACTGATACAAAGGAGAATGAGCAAGAAAGGATACAAACAGGTAATTCACAAAAAGAAGAAAATGCAAATGATAGATAAATATGGCTTTTTCACGTGTTAAAGAGTCATTTTTTTCTAATTATAATATTAGGTATCAGCAAAGGTACAGATAAAAGGTATTTTCATTCTCTGACGGTAACAATGTAAACTAGTACATCTATCTTGGAAAGTAATTTAGTAAAGCCTTAAGAATATTCATTCCTTTTAATATAACAATTTTATTTCCAGTAATCCATTTTATGCAAAGAATCATAAATATATAAAGAGTATATGTATATGAATTAAAGGCTATATATATTTAAGTATTTCCTTTTGTCTTTAACATACATATTCTATTTTTTTTTTATTTTAAAGATTTTATCTCTTTATTTGTCAGAGAGATAGAGAGAGTACAGGCAGGCAGAGAGGCAAGCAGAGAGAGGGGTGGGGGGAAGCAGGCTCCCCGAGGAGCAAGGAGCCAGATGTGGGACTCGATCCCAGGACGCTGGGACCATGACTGAACCGAAGGCAGCTGCTCAACCGACCGAGCCACCCAGGCATCCCTATATTCTCACTATTAAAAGTCGTAATTCTTAGGGCTCCTGGGTGGCTCAGATGGTTAAGTGTCTGCCTTCAGCTCTGGCCATGATCTCAGGTCCTCAGATGGAGTCCTTGCCGGGCGCCCAGCTCAGCAGGGAGCCTGCTTCTCCCTCTCCCTCTGCTTTGTCTCTCTCTCTCTCTCTCTCTAATAAATAAAATCTCTATAAATAAATAAATGTGTGTATGTATGTTATGTCTTAATTCTTAAGTATCAGAATAAAATACGAAATTCCCTTACAACTCCTCCCACTGTCAGCCTTACTCCAGTGGTTAACACTGTTACTAGTTCGGTGCTGTATGCATAAAAATAAACCTTTTTATATTTAATGCTCTTTAAAATAATGGTACTAAAACTACATACACCGCCCTACAGAAATATCTTTCCCGGGGTGCCTGGGTGGCTCAGCTGGTTAAGCAGCCAACTCTTGATTTCAGCTCAGGTCACGATCTCAGGGTCCAGGGATGGAGCCCTCGACAGGCTCCACAATCAGTGCAGAGTTGCTTGAGATCCTCTTTCCCTCTGCCCCTTCCACCACTTGCACTCATTCTCTCTCTAAAATAAATTCAATCTTAAAAAAAAAAATCTATGTCATGCACAGAGATCAACCATTTTCATTTTAACATCTGTAACCCATTTCATGATATGAACATATTATAATTTATTTAATCGGTTCCCTTCTGACACACATTGTTTGTTTTCAATATTTTGCTCTATAAATAAGACTTCTGTGGACATTCTGACAGCCTCCCTGATTCACAAGTGCAGCTTATATTTTTAGGACAGATTTCTTAAATTAGATTTGCTGGATAAGCATAATTTTATTTTAATATTGCCAAAGTGCATTCAAAAGTAATTTTACCAATGGAAATTCCCAATTCATAATATTAGTACTTTTCATTTTTATCAGTCTGATGAGTGAAAAAGGCTACCTTTTTATTTTCATTGGCTTTCTTCTGTAGTGAACCTGAGCATTTACTGACCACTTCTATTTCCTCAATGAATTATCTAACGTTTGGTTTTTGCCCATTTTTTAACTGGACTATCTTTTTCTTGTATTTGTGGAAGTTCGTTTTATGTTTACGTAGTTTTTTTGCCATATTCTTACACGTTAAACATGTCAAATATTTTCTTATGGTGATACTTTTAATTATTAAATTACAGTTTAGTTATATAGAATATTTAAATCTTTATGTACCCAAATAAGGCTTCTGGGTTTTATCCTTAACTTCAGAAGAATGTATCCACCTCTAAGATTACCAAAATATGTTCATATATTTTCTCTTCTCCTGCAGTGATACTTTTGCTTTTTATGTAACTGCACTAGTCCCTATGATAAATAAATAAGAGGAACTTTAAGTATAAATAAAAATAAATAAAATAAAAATAAATAACATAAATAAATAGAAATAAATAAAATAAAAATAAAAAACACAGACTTGGGAGTCTGGTGCTGGAAATATAGGAAGCAACCAGATAATGAAAAGTTCCATAAAATAAGAATTTGTACTTGATCCTGAAGGAAATGGGAAATCCAAATTTTTTAAAAAGATTTTATTTATTTATTTGAGAGACAGAGAGAGAATATGCAGGCACATGCCCAGCAAGGAGAGGGATAGAGGAGGAGCGAGAGGGAGAGAAAATCTCGAGCAGACTCCCACCAAATGCAGAGCCCAAGGTGGGGTTCCACCCCATGACCCGTGATCACAACCTGTGCCAAAACCAAGAGTCAGACACTCAACCGATTGAGCCACCAAGGTGCCCTGGGAAATCCAGATTTTAAACAGAGGAATGAAGTGAAGCAATTTATTCTTTCATAAGAGCATTCTGCAACTCACAGAGTAGAAGAAATCTGGAATACATATAACTAATAAAGATCTTATATCCAAAATATAAAAGGAATTCTCAACAATTAAAAACATGTAATACAACAGAATAGGCAAGTCTGGAACACAGAGTTTATAAAACAAATTATACATTCATCAGTAAATGTGAAAAAGTTCAAAACTTTATTAGTCATTAGGGAAATGCACTGAAACCACAATAAGATACCAGCACACACCTCCAGAATGGCTAAGATGAAAAAAACAAAAAAATACCATAAAAAACAACAACCATTTTAAAATTATCTACTAAAGAGGAACATATGCAAATTGTGTGGCCCAGCAATTCCCAGGCATAAACTGAAGAGAAATGGGTAGGTACATGCTTAGCAAAAGATAGGATTAAGAATAGTAATAGCACTTAAGCCATAATAGCTCAAAACTGGAAATCACTCAAATGTTTATCAACAGTAGAATGGATAAATTATGGTATATTCATACAATGAAATACTATATAGCAATAACAATGAACTATATGTGCAGTAAATAATATGGTTTAATCTCTAAAATATACTGTAAGTAAAAGAAGCTAAACATAAAAAGAGTACTGCTATAGATTCCATTTATACATAGCTCAAAAACAGACAAAAACTAACCGATGGTAGTAGAAATCAGGGCAGGAAATACCTTTGAGAGGTGGAGATTGGGAGGTAGTGAGTGGAAAGGGAACAAAGGAGGCTGACAGGATACTATCAATTTTCTATTTATTGATTTGGGTGCTGACTATACAAGTTCATGAACACTGAATCATATGCTCTTCTGAATGTATACTACACTTTAGTAAAAAAATTTTTTTAAAGATTATTCTGACTTTCAAGTGGAGAATGAATTAGGAGATAAGATTAACCTCAAGGCATGAGGTCAGGTTATTTTGGTAAAATATATTTGAAGGCATTAAACAAATACCTTAGTAACCAAAATATTAGTAGTCATGTAGAAAAATAGATGGTTCTGAAAGGTGTTCAGTAGGTAGAAATGTCAGAACTCTATAAATGTCTAGGTTGAGGGGATGGAGTATCAAATAATGATTCCCAGGCTTTGGGGGACCTAGTAGGAAAGTGGTACTATTAAGATAAGGAACTCAGATGGAGATACCCAACTGATAGATCCTTAACTGAGAGCTCTAGATATTAGAGTCATTAATACATAAATGCTAATAATGCCCTAAAAGCATGTTTCATCTGGAGGGAAAAATTAAAATTGAGAAAAGGTGGGCCAGGCAAAGGGAAAACAACTGACAGCAGAAGCTGCTTCTAGAAACAAGTGGTTCTCAAAGAGAAGTCTGAGAACTTCTGGGAACCCCAAAATAATTCTGGGAGTTTCAGAAGATAAAAAATATTTCTATAGCACTATATTATTTGACTGTTTTTTTTTCTTTCCTGAGTATACAGTGGAGTTTCCCAAAAGTCACATAATATGTAATATTCTTAACAGACTGAATGCAGAAGCAGATAGGAAAATCCATGTCTTCTATTAAGCCAGATGTTAAAAAGACTTACAAAAACATGTAAAACACTGTTCCTCCATGTAACTTTTATTTTTAATTTGCAAAACATATCTATTTTTTGTAAAGGTATATCCTGGGTTTATTACTATCATTGTTAGCCAAGTTCATAAATAAATATTTTTAAAATTTCTCAAAAAAAAATATCTCAGATTCAATTTCTAATATGTTAAGAATTGAAACAGATAATCCACCAGGTCAAAAGTTGTTTGTGGGGGGGCGGTGCCTGGATGGTACAGTTAGTTACACATCCAACTCTTGGTTTTGGCTCAGGTCCTGACCTCAGGGTGGCTGAGCCCTTCGTCGGGTTCCACACTCAGCACAGAATGTGCTTAAGACTCCCTCTTCCTCTCCCCCTGCTCTCTATTTGTGCCCGCTTTCTCTTCCCCCTTTCTCAAATAAATAAATCTTAAAAGAAAAAAAAAAAAAAAAAAGAAAGAAAGAAAGAAAGAAAGAAAAGCTGTCTGGATCCTTTAAACTAAAAAGTGTCCTAAGACCAGAAAGTTTGAGAATATTGGTATAGAGCAATTTCTTCTGAGTCTAGCTAAAATTGCTATTCACTTTAGACTGAAAATGTAGAAGGAAAGCCTGTGCAACTAGTTCACAGTCTCATTATCTGGGGATTGAGATGGCTAAATCCATTCATCAATATGCCTTCAAGCCTATTTTTAATATAGAGATAAATGTCCAAAACCTTTGAGTTCTAATCAAGAGAAACGATAATAAATAGCCATGTGTATATTTTACATGTAAAACTAAATAAAGGCATCTACTCACCTTTTAAAGGAATTTTGTATATAAAAGGCTCTTGTAGCAAAATCATTTTGGTTTTCTTTTTTAAAGATAACAGTCTAGAGCAAAGCCTTGGGAATCAACATTTAAAAGATAGTTAAAATATAAGGAATCTCTGTAGGAAGACTGAAGGGCTTCAAAGGAAGACAGAAAACCTAAAGAGGGATAGAGAAGTAGGAGAAATCCCAGGGGAAAGTGCTTTTGGAAGACAAAGGCTCTCAAATGCTGCAGAGAGATTATAGAAGAGAGACAAGGAAGTCTCCATTTACTTAGCAAAGGGGAGGTTATTAGTAACTTTGAAGAACAGTTCTAGTGTAGACATGGGTCAGAAAACTGAGTTAAGTACTGAGGTGAAAAAGAAAGACAGTAAGTTACAGAACTACTTCAACAATTTAGTTGTAGGGGCGCCTGGGTGGCTCAGTTGGTTAAGCGACTGCCTTCGGCTCAGGTCACGATCCCAGGATCCTAGGATCAAGCCCTGTGTCAGGGTCTCTCTGCTCAGCGGGAAGCCTGCTTCTCCCTCTCTCCCCATCGCTCTGCCTACTTGTGCTCTCTCTGTCAAATAAATAAAATCTTGGAAAAAAAAAAAAAAGAATTTAGTTGTAAAGTGGGGATAAGCAGGGTGATGGCTGAAAAGTCACATGGAGAGAAGAGAAAAAGATATGTTAAAGATACAAAAGAGAATGTATGCTAAATGAACAAGACTGCAGAGGGAGGAGGAACTTGGATCCAGAATATAGGAAAACACCACCTTATACAGAAGGGAGGCTACTTACACAGAAACAAAGAGGAAATAGTAAAGTTCGGGGCGTAAAGAAGACTAATTCGGAAGTATGGTAGCAGGAAGTTGAGGGTGTTAGTGGGTCGTGAGTTGCATCGTCTCTGCCTAGTAAAGAGCAGACGGGAACTATGGGAGGGTTTGAAACAGCTATTACGAAAACGAAGAGAGTACTGTCTTGGGCTTTTCCAAATCTTTTAAATGGGAATAGAGAAATTTTTTTTTTTAAAGATAAGAAGTATCCAGTACATTTCAGAGTGTTTTTTATACTAAATAACTAATAACTAAAATGAAATAACTAAATAACTAAATAACTAAAATGAAAGAATGCTGAATGTGTTGAGTTAATCCTTTCACACTTAGGAAAAGTTCACTGTCCAACCTTTAACAGTCAAGTTTTGTAATATTTTATTTCACTATATTAACTACTTAATTAACTATGATGGGACATTTTAGCTGCTTCTACTGCTATTTTGTAGGAGTTATTGAATTGGCTTATGAAAGTCCAATAAACTAATCATAGGGAAGTTTCTTATCTATTTTTAGGAGTAAGTTTTAAGTAGACAATACTGTCCCAAGATGGAATGGATTTCCTTAAAAAATACTGATGTTCAAATTATGGGAGAGGCAGTTGGCACACTTTTCACATATGAGAATATAAATCCTCAGACATTGTTCTCAAATGTAACAGTAAAAGTTGTAGGCTTACAGGCTCTTGGCTCTCACAGATGTCCGTTCATTCACTGTAGCTGAAAAGCAGCTACAGAAAATAAGTAACCAAATGGGCATGGGTGTGTTCCAACAAAACTTTATTTGCAAAAACAGGTGGCTAGCCCACAAGCTATTATTTTTTAACCCCTGGTCTAAGTTTTCATTTTACTGCTAAGGAAGGCGCTTAAATTCGTATACTCTTTAGTTTTGTCATCTGTAAGAAGAATAACAAAGCTACTGAATTAATAATAACATAAATTATATTAAAATACCCAGAACACCCAAAGCATTCAACAAATATGAGTTCTCTTTCTCTATATTTGATAGTGTGAGGCTATAGTGCTCACCTTCAGAAGGTCACAGAAGTGAAGAAGAGGAGAGAACATTCATGGTGTGGAAAACAAATGCTAATTTGTTAAGACAATGATGCAAAGATGATTTTGCTATTTTTCATCAACAAATCCCTGGTCTCAATTATCCAAATTGGATTTCTTCTGAAAGATGAAAGTCTAAAAAATTTCTTGGAAACAATTTTCCCAGATCCTTAAGATTTAAAAATTTCATTTTAATATTTTATGTGAAACAAACAAAATTTAGATTTAATTTTAACCTTGGTATTGAGGAACTAAAAAGATTCAGAAAAGTAATACAATTTCAAAGGACTGTGATGCTGCCCAATATAGCTCTAGGGGGAAAAAAGGATGGGGAAGTTGAAAAATGCAGTGAACAGCTTTCTCTGCCTTTGTTCCACTACCATATGCCATTTTCTGTATTCTAACTCAGTAAGGTAGAAACAAGGCAGTAAGATGATTCTGAAACAACAAGGAGATCACAGTTGAAAGGTGTTTTGAAGCCCCCAAAAATCTACAAAGTAAATAATCAATAAATTGACGATATAAACAAAGATTTTTTGAAACTCACCATCTCTGTTAGTTTCCCATTCTACATTTTCTTCTTCACTTTCTGGAGTTCTCTCCTTAGTGATTTTTATGTCTTCCTTTTCCCTATGTCTCCCTCTTGAAGATTCTTTCTAAAAAGTATACACATACATACAGATTACTATATTTTAAAAAATTATGAGATAGTTACTATAATACAGAATATTTCTAGCCTCATCCTTTTTCATCTGTTTTGCAGATAATCACTCACCCACTAAGTAGAAAAACTGACAAGTTCTAGTGTAGTACAGCAATGAGCACTATTTTATTAAAGAACAGCAATGTGGTAAAAAGAAAGAGTCACTGAGATTTCAAAAGATACAATGTAAATGTCTAATAAGGGCTGGATAGTCCACAACATACTAAGTTTCTACTTCTAAGTCTCTAAGGGAAAACTATTCAAAATGCATAAAATAAACAAAAGGATTGACTATATTAAATAAGGACTAAAAAATGGCTGCATTATTCATAGTAGACCCTCAAAAAAGAATTACTGATCTAAAACTTGTCATATACTAATGTAACATCATTTCCCTATATGCCTAGATAAATCCAAACTCATTTGATAATTTTATAAATGCTTTTTAAAAAAGATTTTTCCCTACTTTGAGGAAACCAAAATGGCAGCTAAAACAGTTGGCAAATTAGTCCTTATACTGAAGCTAAAAAACAGAAAATCTACATTTTATTCCAAGTTTAACAGTACCCTATGGACAAAACAGGACAGTAGTAATTCAGCTGATAACATTTAACTAAATATCCTATTACACAAAACCTCCAAACAACATTTTAAGTGGTAAGAAAATAAAGTAACCATTGTTATGGAATTGTTACCTTCCTACCACAGTGTCTCACTTTTATTAACACTTTAAATCCTGCCTATAAAACAAACTAACACAAAACGGTTAATTGTTAAAAGTTCTTTCTGGGCATTATCAAAAACAAAACAGGGCTGCTTAAAACACAAATTAATTTCTCTATGAAGTCTTCTTTTTAAAGAACTCCAGTATAAATTATAATTGCCCCTAATTTTACATATTTAAGTATAAAGTCATGCTGTTATCACTTGCTTAATGACATATATGGCTGCTGTAAAACAATAAAGGTGGACAAAAGTCATTATAAAAGAGTCTACAAGAGTACAACCAGCCATGGAAAAATGGTAAGAGGCCAAAAGAGAGAGAGAGAGAGAGAGAGAGAGAAAGAAAGAGAGAGAAAGGAAGGAAGGGTTAATCTACTTTATACATAAATCAAAAGGAAAAAAGGAACATGATCTACTTTTATTCTTAAGTTATATTCTAAAGAGTATCAGTGATGAACTATTCTATATCCCATTCAACATTTTTTTTTTTTTTTTGCTCCACACCCAGTGTGGAGCCCAATGTGGGGCTTGAACTCAGGACCCTGAGATCAAGACCAGAGCTGAAATCAAGAGTTGGACACTTAACTGACTACACTACCCAGATGCACCCCCATGCAACTTTTGAACATTCTGGGGATTAAACTCACTATAAATATAAAACAGTACAAGTTATATCAAAAATCTATAATAAGTTATCTCCAAATTACTGAAAAATATATTGTTTCCCAAAGTATCATGTAATATCTGAATACTAACTTAGCTGAAAAAAAGGGTTTCAGAGCCATAGTGCTGATACTGCAAAATAAATAACCTGCAAGTGTGTAAGAGAATATTTTAAAGATTTAGAACCAAAAATATAATCATCTTAATAAATTTCATTAATAACTTACATAAATTTCAAAATATTCACCCTATATAATAAAATTATGTAATTTTAAGCTGCCCCCCCCCCTTTTTTTAAGATTTTATTTGTCAGAGAAAGGAAAGAGCGCACAAGCAGGGGGAGCTGCAGGCAGATGGAGAAGCAGGCTCCCTACTGAGCAAGAAGCCCATGCAAGACTCCATTCCAGGACCCTGGGATCATGACCTGAGCTGAAGGCAGACGCTTAACTGACTGAGCCACCCAGGTGTCCTTTTTTTTTTTTTTTTTAAAGGCTCTTGTCTTTTAATATGACTTTAATACTGTCCTCAGAAATCATATATGACTTCTGTTATTAAGTACTAGAGACTGAATATAGGCTTTAATAAAAATGGAATCTCATTCAAGTTAGAAGATACATTTTTTTTCTAATATTTTGTCACTATCAAAATATGGGAATTATTTTGGTAACAATTATTAAGGCAGCTCAGATCATTTTAAAAAATGTCACATTTCCCCATTTTTTCCAGTTCAACAATGTTTAGGCATAATTTGGTTAGGCATGTTATTCCTTTGTCAGTTATTTCTCCCTTTATCGTATTCAAGTAAACAGGGTCTGGTATTCCCTATTCCATGTAGCACAGCATGGCCTGCTCTCACCTCTTGAAGAGAACAGCTTGTCATCTTATTTCTTTTAAATGCAAACATATTAATCAGGCTGTTTGATTACTTTATTATGCATTCTAAATTAGCCATCCCAGAAGATGTACATGTTGAAATATCTGTTAATGAACTAAAATATTTCAGCCAGTACTGCTGGGATGAGATATTTTAAGAATTCTGAATTTTTTTGGACTTCAAAGTATATTAAGTAACACCACCAGTAGGGTCTGGAGAAACATCCTGTGATCAAACATACAAATATTTTTGCAGCACAACATGAATTTGCCAATTGTATAAAGACTATAATTAGCCTCATGTCAATTAAAATCAGATTTTGCTATCAAATAAATCTATGCCTAACTTAGGAAACATGTTTGGTTTTAAAAATTTCTTAGATTTCAGAAATGTAATAAATGATTGTGGACTTTAACTTTATTTTCATTTTATATTACATTGACACTTATTCCTTAAACATTATATGTATGGACAGATAATATTCACTATGAATTTTGTTTTTAGATAGTAAGCAGGCATTACCAAAAAGAAGTACTTTAAAAAAGAAGTACTGAGGTTAAGTGTTGAAAACCAGTATTATAACAACTGGATTAGCAACCAGAATAATTAAAGGCTAGGGGTCTTTGTAAATAATATAATTCAACCTCCTCTTGCCCTATGTAGAAAATTTTTTAATACTATATAGTTATGAAAGTCCTATTAGAAGAATTTCAGAAAAAAAATTTACTCTCTACATCTCCGCTGATAGCTCTTCACTGCTGCATCCTTTGTCCCCATTTTCAGACAGCTCTGAGTATTAAAACATTCTTTCTTATACTGATTGCAACTCTTACACCTTTCCAGAATTCTTCCTGATTAGAATCAGTTCTGACATCTAGATCATGTAAAAAGAAATCTAATGCTTCTTTCACACAACAGTCCTTTAAATATGTGAACACCAGCATTATTAAATCTCTTCAGCATCTTTTCATACCAGGCCAAAGAAAGCTACAGTTCATATCGATCATATGTTAACATTTCAGGATTTTCACGTTCTTCCTCACTCTGTCATCTTCCCTGGACATACTAATTTACCAATGTACTTCAATAAAATGTGGTAACTAAAATTAATCTAGTCTTGTCAGAGCAGTATACAGCATATGGCTTTTATTTCTCCTGGTGTAGAACTGAAATTATACTTGTATTAATGAAGTCTAAGTTGCTTTGCCGGGTAAGTTTCAGGTGGAGCTTAAGTAAGATACTGTAAGCTTATAAACTGTAAATTTAAATTATAATCTCACATAAAACAGAGAAAACTTCAGGGCTCGGTGATTTAATAATACACTGAAATCATTAGAGATCAAACTTTCTAGTGTTCTTCCAATCTTACAGCTTTGCTATTCCTAATGTTGACTTCTCATTATTTCTTTTACCATGATAAGGCATATTTCTTTTACCATAATAAGAAGCCATTTAGGTTCTCCCCACATGCCTCTCCCTCAATCACGAAATAAGAATTCTTTCCTTCAGTTTGAGTAGGCCAACTTCAGCCATATGACCAACCAAGGTAATGATCACAGGAGAAATGATTTAGGCCTGGTTCCTGAATCAACTGAATTAGCAAGGAGAATGGGATTACTTTGACTGAATCAAATTAATCAGGCCCCAGCAGTGAACCAGGGTCAATTCCCCCAAAACGCAATGCAGATACAAAAGGAAAAAGTGAGGGAATGGATTACAGAGAGTTCAAAGCAATTTACACTACACTTTTGGTAGTATACCTCACCTCTTCAAAGTGTAAGGCCACACTTTGGACAACTTCAAAGGCCATACAAAACAGACTGTCCAACCCAGTAAACATTTTCTCTGTTCACCTTTATTATTCACATTTCAGACCCTCCTTCTAAGGTCATTTGCTATCTTCCTGATACATATCTTTTTAGATATTCTCTACTTAGTGAAGGTCTCCTAGTACTCAACGCTCTCAATTTTATTTGAAAGTTATCTGTATTATATCTACATTCTTGAAAAATAATTTCACTGGGTATACAGCTATGGGTTGACAGATTTATCTTAGCACTTTGGAAATATTATCCCACTGTCTTTTGGCTTCCGTTTCTATTGATATCAATCTGTTGCTCCTTTGTAGGAGCTTTTTTTCTTGGGGTATTTCTAATATTTTCTGTAACTCTGGTATTTTGCAATTGCATAATAATATTCTACTTGATATATATTGTGTTTTCTGTATCTGCTGCAGCTTTGTCTCATCAATTACAGAAAAGTCACAGCACTATTTCTTTCAATATTGACTCTCCTACATTCTATTTTTTCCTGGAGTTCCAACTGAGAGGTACATCAAATTTTCTAAGTATTTCCCTCACATTTTAAAATCTCTTCAACATTTTCTATAACCCTGTCTTTATGTATTGTATTCTGGATAAATTCTTCAGCTCCATCCTTCAGTTCAACAGCTCTCTCTCCACAGATGGACCAAAGGCTTACTCTCTGACCAGTTCTAATACTAATAAAAGTTTCTAGGTCACCACTAGCTTTCAAGTTTGCTACTTAATCCCTGGTTTCAATTCCCTGTTAGTGTTTCTTTGTTTTTGCTGCTGTTTTGCATTTTTGAGAAAGCAGCAATGCATTTAAAATGTGTTTGTTGTCACTTATCCAGGATACTGTAGTGGGAGGGCCCTCAAAGTATATAAACCATA